ATATATATATATATATATATATATATATATATATATATAGATATATATAGTGTATGTGTGTGGGGGGGGGAGGTGTTATGAGCACAAGGAACTGGAAGAGATGAGCGGTTCTCCAGTCATCACTGTGAGCTGCCCAGGTTGGAGTGTAGGGGAATTAAGCACAAAGGCTGGAAGACCTTCAGGACCAGGGACATACGTCCCTTGTTCTTTGGAGGAGGGAAATTCAACCAGGCCGAGACAGCTGATTCCCCGTCCCTCCTGAGCCTGCTCATTAAAGATAGATGACCCTAGGGAGGGGGTTCAGGGGTCACCAGCTGCTGGGGCTTCTGGCTAGAGACAGGCCAGAGATCATTTACAGGGAGAATATGGCCAGGACTACCTGCCCTGGCTGCAGAGGCAGGAGGGAGAGTGAGTGGAGTGGAAAGCTGGTGTGGCACTGTCAGCAGTGTGTCCCCAAGAAGAGGTGCATCTGTCGCCAGTGATTGGAAATGAGTAAAGAGAGCTGTAAATACTGTGGGCTCTGTTTTGTTTCTTACTTATTAAAAACAAGAGATGGGTTAGGTACAATCTTCAGAGTGACGGGGATGGTGAGCATTGAAATTTGAGTTGATGACATTGGGTTCAAATCCTAGCCATGAACCTCACAGCTGAAAGCAAATGCAAACCTCTTATCTGTCTCTTCGTGGCAGGATGGGCTCTCCTAAACCTGCTTCACAGGATTACTGTGGGAGCTTTGAGGGCCTGAAGTGTGTGACATACTTGACACACAGTAGGCATTTAATAGGTACTAGTTGCCTCCAAGAGTAGAGGGACAGGTGACATAAATTCTGCCAGAATGCTGCTATATTTCCTGGGCCCTACACACAGAGAGGCACACACACACAGAGACAGACATACATGCACTAGTGTGGGCAAGCGCACACACATACACACTCACACATTCACACACTCCACACACATACACACTTACACACACTCACACTCATATACACACACATTCACACACTCACACACATTCACACACTCACACATACACACACACTCACACACACACACACACACACACACGCTCGCACACACATACACACTCACACATACACACACACTCACACACACACATTCACACACTCACACATACACACACACTTACACACTGACACACATATACTCACATACACACACTCACACACTCTCACACACACACTCACACATACACACACTCACACATACACACACTCACACACTATCTCTCACACACTCACACTCTCTCTCACACACAGTCTCTCACACACTCACACTCTCTCTCACACACTCACACACTCTCTCTCACACACACACTCACGAACATGCACAAGCTCATGCACCCCTCCATTCTCCTCCTGATTACTTTCTTCAAGCGTCGCTTTCTCTCAACCCTAACCAAATCTCCAGAGCCAGCCAGCCATGCTCAGGCCCCTGGCCACACCTGGATGAGTTCAAGAGGTGAATATACACAACAAATGACATCTGGTGGATTCTATTTGTCCCTCTAGGACAATATCTCCCTGTGCCTATGCTGTAGACACAGCTGGAGGGAAAGCACCTCTAACTCCTGGCTCTAACTCTCCAGGGCCCTGGGTGTTGGGCTGTCACTGTGCTCTGCCTTGTCTGGGTACCTGGCTAGTCAAAGTGGTGTTGTGCCCACAAAGTGTGACCTTCCTTCACCTACTTGTGCCTTTTGTAGCAGTATACACTCAAGTTGGACTCTTCCACAAGTCCGGACACATCTGGACAGCCAGACAAAGGTGGGGTATGAGGGAAGGGCACTCCACATCAGAAGATGTGTTGCCCTTTAATCCGTATACAGCTCTGTAGACCTGCACAGGCCAAGGAAGATTCTGTTTTCCTGGGACTTTGCTTCTATTCCAATGATGACCCAAAGACTCAGCCACTGGAGTAGGGGCATGGCTCCTGAGCTGAATGCAGGCTCTGGAGGGCTGAGAATGGGCTGGGGGAAGGCCTGGGTATTCCCCCATGGCCTTTTCTTGATCTTCCTCAGGCCCCACTCTGTTGGGGTTCCCCATGCGGCCCCAGCTGCCCTCACTGCCCTCTGGTTCTGCAAATGCCAGTTCACATGCCCTTCTAGTCTTCCCTGCTCCACTCCCCCACTCTCAACAGAGTAGGAATGGGCTTGATGCTTTTTCCCAGGAGAAACTGAGGCCCAGAGAGACTAACCAACTTGCTCATAGGCCCCAGAAGACACGGTGACTTGGACACGGAGCTTCTGCTCCCAGTCTGGTCCTCGAGCTAAAGGTGCTTTCCCTCCAGCTGTAGGATCCCCTAGGCTCCTCGGGGTAGAGGCCAGCTAGTCAGGGCAGCACTGGGCCTCCAACCTCCTCCCCAAGATGTTCCCTGTGAAAGGGAAGCCAGTGAAGATATTGCCTCCTCTGCTCTGCTTCGGAGGCCCAGGTTCCCAGGCTGCAGGGAATCAGACAGGGTGTGCAGGCAGGGACTGGCCTTGGCTTGGCAAGCAGGCCGGCCTTACAGCCTGCCTGCCAGGCGTTCTAGGAAGCTTCTTCTGAGGCCAGAAGCTTTGCAGGTTGCAGAGCTGGGACAAAGCCCAGTTGGGGCGAAAGGACTCCCTCGAGGAAGTAAGTGTTAGACAGGAGCAGTGGCTGCCAGTAAGGCCTACAAGACTGGCTGGCGGCCCCGCATCGCGGAGGTAGAGAATTCTTGGCCTGGCCGGTGGCCCATGACTCCCCTGTCTCCTGGCAATGTTTTATCTCATTCATCCCAGAGTGGAGGACAGGCCTCATCCTGTGACCTGTGAGGAGTATGATTCTAGAACGCCAGTCAGGAAGGGCCTCCAGTGTCCAGCCAGGTTGTCTTTGTTGGCATTGGTAATTTATTTAGGAAGAAGCCAGTGAGAACTTCAAAGACCCACTGGGTCTTTAAGATCCCTACTATGCCATTTACATAAACTGTGTGACCTTGGAAAGTTTACTGGCCTCTCAGAACCAGACACCTGTACATGGGGATAATTATTTTCATCCCCACAGGATTGCTGTCTTCCAAGGACAAAATGTCTGTCCGTGTTGAGGGCCAAGTGCAGCAAACAGAACACACTCAGGAAATAGTCTCCCTCCTTCTCATCCCTGCCTGTCTTCAGGAACACGTCGCTTCAGCAAACCTTATTCTGCCTCACCATGGGATTCTCTGCCTTACAATGGAGAGTCTCCCTTAAAGCTAACAGCTTACTACTCTAGCTTGTGCCTAGGCCCTGGGATGGGGGAAATGGGGGCTCCCAAGCCTTTGTCTAAGGCAGTGGGGGTCACCCTGGAGATAGTGGCAGATGGCTGAACCCGAGGGTCCCTGGTGGTGGCAGCAGAGGATCAGTGACACAGAAGGCGTTCCCAGGAACTCAAGCCCCTTGAGCAGCAGCCCACCATTAAAGTCAGCCAGCATTGAGGCTGCTGTCATACATATCAGATGCTGTGTGGGTGGCACTGGGTTCAGGGAACTGGAGGAGTGCCTAGCTTCCTTAGCTGCTGAGACCCCTTTATCTGGGGCAGCCCCCTCATGGCCCGAACCTTGCCCCCAGTTTTTTCCCCTCAAAATCTTTAAAACCAATTCTATACTCTCCATTGTCAGGCGTGGTCTGAGATCACAGGCTGCATCATCTTGACTGAGTCACTTCCAGGGACAGGTGTGGGGTGGCATCATTCAGGAGCAGGTCTAAGGGAGACCCTGCCCTGCGGGTGAGACTGCACTATGGGGGTAGAGCCACGTGAGAGGCAGCCACGAGCACTGCTGGCTCTTACCTTCTGTTACTGTCTGTCACCAGGTCCAGTCATGCTCTTGGCAAGTTTCTGATAGACCCACTTTGCGCCCCACTGTCAGGACCCTGGGAACCTGAAGATGGCTCCACCTGTAAAATGGACGGGATTGTGTGTAAGAGCTGGGTGTAGCAACACACAATGTAATCCCAGCAATTAGGAGACTGATGCTAGAAGACTGAAGGCAGTCTCGGGGCAGGGAGTGTGCCAAGCATCTGGAGAAAGAGCTGGTTATGTTATACAGTCCCACTCTAGTGGACTCCGACTTCTGCACGTGCCTAGCACTTTAGGAGCACTTTGTAGCTGGGCTGCAGTAGTTAAGTAGCCAGGATGACAAGGTCACGGTTGAGTGCTTGAGATGTGGTTGATGCAACTGGGGAAATTAAAGTTTAATTAATTCAAATAGAAAAGGTATTCAACATTCTTAAATAATTAGAAAAACACATATAGATCTATGGTGAAACAGCCTGACACACTGGGCTGGCCACAGTATGACAGACAATAGCGCATGTTGTTGAGGCTGGGTGGAAGCCAGAACTCTCACACACTGTGGATAGGAGTAAGACATAGTGCAGACACTTTGGATGACACTGTGGGCATTCTCCAAAATGTTAATCACGCGTTACCATATGACCCAACATTCAGCCCTTGGCATATACTCATGAAAAATAAAAGCAGATGTCCATACATACATGAATTTTCATAGGGCATCATTCATACTGGGCAAAAAGTAGAGATGAAACAAATGTCTACCAAATGATGGATAGATAAGCAAATGTTATCTATACAGTAGAATATTATTTGGCCACGAAAAGGAATGACTGGCTGATCCATGCTACAAGATGGAGCAACTTTGAAAAGGCAGTGCAAAGTGACAGTGTGTGATTCTGTTCATTGAAATGTCCTGAGAAGGCAGGTCTTCAGAGTCAAAAAGTAGACCAGTCTTTGCAGGAATTAGAGCAAGGAAAGAATAGCAAGTGTCCGGGGCTTATTAGGGAAGTGATAAAAATATTTTGAAATTATGTGAATGGTGATTACAAATGTGCTGAAAACCACGGGAATATATACTTAAAAAGGTAGATTTTATAGCATGTGATTATCATCCCTCATCATCATTACTATCTCTGGCTAGTGGCTCCAGGATTAGACAAGGCTAGACCATCTGCCTTCTAATTCTGGCTTTGCCATGTGCTACTGTATCATCCTGGACAGCAGACTTGGCTGACCTGAACTCCAGTTTTCTCAGCTATAAAAATAAAGCTGGAGTAATAGCTGGGCAGTGGTGGCGCATGCCTTTAGTCCCAGCACTGGGAAGGCAGAAGCACAAGGTTCTCTGTGAGTTCGAGGCCAGCCTGGTCTACAGAGCAAATTCCAGGACAGCTAGGGCTACACAGAGAAACCCTGTCTCAAAAAAAAAAAAAAAAAAAAAAAAAAGGAGGGGGTAATAAATGGATCAGCCCAGGTTTGTCATGACCTGAAAAGGGCTCGTATACATAAAGCTTCTAGAATAGTACCTGGTTCCAGAGGTAGAAGGGTTAGCCAACACCTAGTATTACTAGTGCCATGCCCAGAAATCGCCCATGTCTCTCCAGTGCCGTCCACACCTGAGTCCAGCCACCCCACCCACCCCACCCCCGTCCTCTTCTCCCCACTTCCTTGCCTGCAGATGGTTTTCACTGCTGCGTACACTGTTGCTATAACAACCACGCTGGCTTCCCAGCCGCAGCTGCAGAAGAGACATCATCAACATTATCTGAGCAGGGGTGTCACATGAAGGCTCTGGGCATTGTTAAAATAGGAAACATTTCCAGTAAATCTTGAGGTTCACCAGACAGGAGGGTCTGGGCCTGCCCTGAGTATCGAGCCACCTGCCTGTGTGGCTGAGATGCTTAGTCCATCCTCTGCTGGAGGCTGGCCCACAAGCCCAGCCTAGCATCAAATCTTTAGAATCCTCTCTTATCCTAAAACCTGATGGTCAAAGGAAAAGGGATGGTAGTAGGATTTCTCTAGAAGTGTAATAGAAACAGATAGACCCAGCAGGTCATGGTGGTGTACACCTTTTATCCCAGCACTCAGGAGGCACTCTCAGGATAGATCTCTGAGTTGGAGGCCAGATTAGTCTATGGGGCGAGTTCCAGAACAGCCAGGGCTACACAGAGAAACTCTGTCTCAAAAACAAAACAAAACAAACAAAAAACAAAGAAAGAAAGGAAAAGAAAAGGGACATTACAACTAATACTCATTGCAAACAGGGCTAAAGGCCGGAGCCCTCTTCTGGTCCCTTGGCCCACAGTACTCACTATCCTTGACCTAGCCAGGGCTTCCCCAAGGGGATGTAAGTGCTAGTCATTGAGAAGTAACTGTCCCCTGGGCCTGTAAGCTTACCTCCTCCCCAAATTCTCTGCCAAGGCTGTGCTTGTACACCAGGCTGTATGAAGCTGAGCCACACTCCCATTGCAGCCAACCATGTGGAGTTCCCTTGCTGCCTTCAGATCACTGCAGGGATCTCCTTTCTCTCCAAAAGGACATTGATGAGGCATGATAGAAGGAGCCTGTCCTCCCACCTCCCCTGGAAAGCCACCTGCTTCAAGCACACTTTAAAAGAGCAGAAGTGAGACTTCCAGAGAACAGACTTGAAACCCACCCACTTACCCAGGGTACTGGAGTTGAAAGGCAAGCTGAATTCTCTCTCAAACTTTGGCTCTGAATATGAGCTTGCCAAAGGCCCATGGGTGTTCAGAGCCTATTTCTACCTCGGGCTGGTTTGAATAATCCCTGTAGATCAGGCTCTACTCTTAAACTGTCCCCAGGAACAGGGTAGGTACTGCCTGGGTAGATGGCTCAGCAAAGCTGATGATGCCGACGCTAGGCTCTTTTCCAAGTGTGCTAACGTAGCCAGGACAGGGGGCTATCGGTATGGAGAAGCATGTCTATCCCAGGAGTGCAGAGCCTGCAAGGAAGCAATCCTAAGCAGAATGCCAAGGCAGCTTCTCCCAAGCCAGAGAGCCAGACAGCTGCCCATCTTGCAGCATTGCGGCATCAGCAAGGCTGCAGGCGGCCAAGGACCCATAGCGCCCCCGTGTGGTTCTTCTCTGCAACAAGCACAGAGACACGACAAGATGAATGAGGTTGGCATCCCCTGGCTACAATATGGAGGAGTAAGGTTTTGGTGGCTGTCTTACCAGAAACGTAAAGATGTAGCAGACAACAGAGAGCCGACTTGTACCAAAGGTATTTCCCCATCACCTTGAACAGGGATGTTGAGCCCTAGTCTTTTGAGGGGTATCCTGTTCTCAAAGCGTGCAATCAAATGCAAGGATTTCCCAAAATAGGACCCTCCAATCACATCACCTGATTTAGTATCTGGCAGTACAACAGATTCCTCTAGGCCGCTGAACCAGAAATTGGGGGTGACACCCTGGCATCTATGCTTAAGAGTAGGAGTTTTTACAGACCTCAGCCAGGCACAAAGATCAGACAGCCCAAGCTGGTGGGGAGGGGTCCTCTACCTATGTGAGAGCACAGGACCAGACTGCCAGAATTTAAGTGTTGTCTACACAGCTCCCTTACTTATAGACTAGGAAACTGAGGCCCAAGAAGTAGTCACTTACCCAGGTTCCACAGCTGGTTGGTATGTCCCCTTGGGATTTTTCCCTCATTGAAAATTAAAACTGCCCATGAACCGGGGAAACTCCTGCCTGGCAATTCCAGACTGTAATGCCTATGCCCACTTCTCTGTTTAGCCCCAGATTTGTTTGTAGTTCCTAGTTCTTGTATAACACCCCCATACGGCCAATGCATTGTTTTCTTAGTCCTGGCTTTCCGGTGCCTCGTGCAGCACCCAGCAGGACTCCAGCCTGCCCACTCACTGCCTGTGTGGTTCTCAAGGGTAAAGAGAAACTCCCTGGGAGTGGCTCTAGGGAGCAGGAGTGCTGAGCAGATACAAGCATAGCATTTGCTTCACCGCAGGGTTTGGTGACGCCTCCTCTGACAATATTGTGGGTGGGGGGGGGGGGGGGGGGGTGAGTGGAATGATAGGATTAGTAACAGAATAAATAGTCCCCGCCTGCGTGCTCTACGACAGTGGAGTGTCTGCAGGCCTGGAGGCCTGCCCACCCAGCATCCTTATATGACCTCTGGGGTCAACAGATGATTTGCAAAGGGGTATAGGGAAGGGATGGAGTTACCCTTCAGACAAGCTGCTGTGCTCTACCCTAGGGCAAAGGAGATCTGTATACTGGGTCACCTGTCAGCTTTTAACACTTTCCCCGCCACGGTGTAGGACAGTGCAGGGGTGGGAATGACTCCAGTGCAAGATGACTGGTGCAGACCCTACAGAACTGCCTAGCTTAACTTGAGCACCTCTGGGGTACCCTGGAATGTGCCCTTAGACCAGGAGTGCACTGGGGTGGCCTCCTGCTCTTGCTGGAGTTGGTAGACTTATGTCCTGGAGTGGAGGAAAAGGAAGAAAAGATTCCAATTCCCAGAGACATTTGACCCACTAAAACACAAAGTACTGCTCAACAAATACTGGCAGTCATGTGGGGAAAGTCCCCAGTGTCTTTTTCCACTGTTGCAGTGGGTGAAAGTGGCCCAGTGGCTGGAGCTGGACTCTTTTTAGAAGCTGAAATTGTGATAGTTTTCCAGAATGTAAAGATCTGAACCATGTGCTGGGATCAATAGGGTCAGGGAATTTTCTCCCTCCAGAGAGTTGTTGAGAGGGGGTTGTGAAAGAGAAACAGATGCAGGGGGGCTCAGTCCCTCCTGTTTCCAGGTCCTTTAGGCTGGCCTGGATTTCTACATGAATCCAGGCCCAGGCCGTCCCCTGTGGTTAATTCTGGCTGTGATTTACCTCTTCTGCAGATATATCTCAGCCTCCATCCCAGCCCACAGCACGGGATGGTGAAAAAAGAGTTGAGGCCAGGAGTCACAGCAGCCCTGACTCCCTTCTGTGAACTTACAGGAGAGGTCATTTTTGTCCTTAATGTCATAGGTTGGCAGATGCTTTCAGGCCCCCTCTTGGCTCACGTCTGCCCATCCTGGGGGGCTTGCAACTCACCCAGCCACTCAGCAAAAGCCACTCCAGAGGTGAGGTGTCCATTCAGTTCTCAGTTGCCCTGCCCTGGTCCCACACCGCTCGTGTGGGTTCTGAAACTTTGGAAGTAATTAAGGTTTGCCAGTCAATCATTGCAATTTACTTAATTGCTGGCTAATAATTAAAACCTCACAGAATGTGGGGAAATCTGAGTACTGGGTGATGGATCCCCCTGAGCCTCCTCTCCCGGAACTTGCCTGACTCTGTTGGAGCTTTTTACCTTGAGCTGGATGGAGACTCGCTATACATTGCTATATCATGTTTTAGCCTTCTGGCCTGAGCAAGTCCCTGTAGCCAAGTGCACCTCACAGGCAAGACTAGCTCTGAGAGAAACAGCCCAGGCTTGATGATGCATAAGCAAGGTTGCCCCTAGACCCAGGTGTGAGGGCCTCACCAAGCAACAGCTTGGTCCCACCCATCTGTGAATGACAGAGAGTGGGGAGTTCCAGCCCCGTGCCCACCCACCTCTGCCTTCTGCCAGATCCATATCCGAGCTACAGTCCCAGGAAGTTTGCCATGTGCCGGGCACGGTGCTAAGGCTGTCGGTCCTTAAGCCTTGCTATATCCCGACCAGGTGAGACCATTCCTCTCCCCATTTAGCAGAAAGGAAAACTGCAGCAAGATGAGGTGGCCTGTTTAAGGTCAACCCTGCTGGGTTGTCCTGGGACTCTCTATGTAGACCAGGCTGTCCTGGAACTCACCAAGATCCACCTGCCTCTGCATTTTGGTACTAGGATTAAAGTTGTGCTCCACAGTGACAGGCCTAAGAATGGCGTTCTTGACACCAAATTGAGTCAGTTTCTTCTCAGTGTCACATCTTTAGGTTAGCAGCTGCTCAGTCTTATCATCCTTGGGAGGCCTGTCCCCCTGTCTGATGCCAAGCAGGTAGAAGGAAGCTACTCATATCACCCTCCCAGTGGCCCCTGGGCCTTCCCTTCTCACGCTCAAATTGCCTCTCTTCCTGGCAAATTTCTTAGTCACCTTCCTGTCACACAATGGGAGTCATGTGTGTGTCTGCAGAACTGGCACACCTTGGTGAGGCACAGTATCATGATGGAAAGAACAGGGGTTTGGAATCCAAACAGATAAGATGAATCAAATTGAATACCATGGAGTCATATGCCCCGCATCGTGCCTCGTGTATGGCAAACATATAGTCACTGGCATTACTGGCATTTCGTTGATCCTTAGCTGTAAGACTGAATGGGCAAGATACTCTCTGCAGGCATAAGCGCGCGCGTGTGCGCGCGCGCGCACACACACACACACACACACACACACACACACACACACTCCATCCTTAGAGCTATAATCTGTTCTGCAAAAATATAGCTGCAATGTTCACAAAGGTGCCACAGAAGTTGGAACATCCAGAGTAACGGCAGAAGAGTCCTCCATCTTTGACACAGCTTAGCTCTGTTTTGTTCCAGGGCCACATGCTGAGGCCACAGGGTTGTTGACCAAGATACAGGGAGGCAGCCTCCAAGACATCAGGACTTAACCAGTAAAGTATAGCACTTTCAGGTTATGTTAACGTCTTCATAGAGCAAATAGTACCTCAAATCCCTCCACCCTTTCCCAGACCTTCACTCTCACTGGACACAGTGAGGACGAAGCACCCTTTATTTGTGGGCTTAGTTGTGGTCTGGGAGCTGAGGTGGGGCAGGGTACAGATCTGGAGTGCTTGAGGGGAAGAGGTGAACTGAGTTCTTTTTTGTTTGTTTTTGTTTGTTTGTTTGTTTGTTTTCAAGACAGGGTTTCTCTGTGGCTTTGGAGGCTGTCCTGGAACTAGCTCTTGTAGAACAGGCTAGTCTCAAACTCACAAAAACCCCCCTGCCTCTGCCTCCCGAGTGCTGGAACTAAAGGCGTGTGCCACCAATATCCGACAGGACTGAGTTCTTTTGCAAATACAGCTAATATATTTTTAATCTGAACACTGAAAAATGCCTTGGAGATCAGAAGTGTGAATATTACTGACTCCCCCAAACATACACACACACACTCACACTCCACATACTCACACACACACTCACACATACTCACTACACACATATACACACTCACACTCCACATACTCACACACACACACTCAAACACAAACTCCATATACACATACAACTGGATAAAGTATCTATAGCCTCTTGGGTCTCAGTGGCCAGTCCTTATATGCATGTAAGTCCTAGGGTTTCGGTTTCTTGTATCTATATATTCCTTTGATTCTGTTGGTGGCAGTGACCTCCAGTGCTAATGGAAGACCTAAAGGTAATCCAATAAACATCCTGGCTAGCTGGGGCAGCACACTTCCCTCATCCCTACACTCTGGAGGCAGAGGCAGGAGGATTTCTGCAATGTTCAAGGCCAGATGGTCTGTACAGTAATTTTCAAGCTGGCTAGGAAAACATAGTGAGACTCTGTCTCAAAAAAAAATTGCAAAATTAAACAAACATTAAAAATGTTCTCTTACACTAATTTGTATTCTTTTTATTCTTCATTGGAAATCTGTTTTATGACAATCAGTAATTTCTTTGAAAAGTACTGGTAGTTTGAGCTATGTAAAATAAATACATAGTTTTAAAAATGATAATTGCACTCATTAACTCTTCGGATATCATTAAATGCTACAGTATACAGTTATCATTAAATGCTACAGTATACAGTCACTGTGCATGACACTGCTGATATAGGGGTGCTCTGTCTTATATCAAAAGAAGTGAGTTTCTTTCAGACCCTAGCTCTACCTTGTGCTACCTGCAAGTTGTGCAGCCTCAAGTAATTTATTTGATCTCTCGAAGTATCAGCATTCTCATCTGTAAAATGGAACAATAGCACAGATCTCCCAGAAACGTTGTAAGCATTCAACTGGATGGTGTGTGCAAAGGACTGGGCACACCAAGAAGTCCCTGATTTACTCTCAGTCACTTTCCTCTTTGGAAACACACTTTGGAGATGAGTGTACATTGGATCATTTCCGTCAAAACCATAGAAAGCATCGCCTTCCTGGGAAACCCATTCCTTGGCACTTTGTTCTAGGTTCCCACATAGGCACTTGAGGATTAAATGTTAAAATATATAGGTGTAAACTCTCTGACCCTGTGTCCCATGGCAAGACACCAGTTAAAGCCATGGAGCAGCTCACAAGGTAACACATGCCAGGATAAACAAGCACTGGCAGCCAGAGAAATGATGCCAGGGCTGTGGACAGAGCACAGACCATGGCAGGCATGGAGGCCTGCCATTTGTCCTTGTTCCTTGACACCACCATGGAGTGGTGTGTACATGGGACTGGCCATGAGAAGCTGGAGAATGGGGGACAAGACACCAAGGGAGGGACACAGAGATGGCTGGGCCCAGGTTTGGAGCTGGACCAAGGAGAAGGTGCCTCAGAGGCTCTGGGGAGAGCCATACAGCATGGCCCTGCCACCCCACCCAGCCTCTCTTGGCCAGCCATCCAGTGACAGCCAGCCAGCCTGAGCTCAGTCTTGAGAAAAAAAATACCTCTTATGGGATTCGGAAATGTTCTCTTTGGCAGCCAAAAGGAGCTTGCTCTCCCGCTGAGTCTGTGGGTGGAGAGAGGCTGGGGCTGGGAGTGGGGGTAAGGTTGGCTTGCCCAGAAGGCTGGAAGGGTTGAGGGAGGGAAGAGAGGGCTTGTCCCACTGTCATCTTTCTGTCACTGACTGCTGAATATTCCCTTTTGAGGAAGATTGGGGAAGCTGGGTTCTGTTTAGTGATAGTAAAGGGTAAACCATGGGGCAGGGCCTAACACAGCGCTGGTACCAAGTTCTGTTGGTGTCTTTGCTGTTTTATTTTTATTTATTTTGGGGTTTGTATGGGTTTTGTGTTGTCTTTCTTTTTTGAAATAGGGCTTCACTATGTAACCTTAGCTAACCTAAAAATTACTATGTAGACCAGGCTAGCCTCAGACTCAGAGACATCCACCAGCCTCTGCCTCATGAGTGCTGGGATCAAAGTTTTGTGCCACCACACCTAGTCCCAAGTGGGTATTTGATAAAGATTTTTTGGCTAAGTCTATAGAAGGGAGAGGAAGGTTCTTTGAGTTGCATCATTTGGATGCTATTTCCATCCTAGAAGGGAGAAAGGATGAAGCTTTGTTTATGGACAGAGGCTCTCATCGGTCCAGGCTAACGTCATTCTGCCCGGAAACCAAGGAAGAGCAAAGTGGTCCAGATTTTGGCCGCACCCATGCTTCTTCCACAGTCTGGATTCCAACTATTGAATAGGATCTAAAGTGTCCCAGAAAATGACTGCTCATCTCCAGCTCCAGGCAGCCACCTCACCTTTAGGAGGCTTTGCCTCCTAGACTCCCACAGAGCCACTCCACATGTTCACTGAATTTCAGAATAATGGCCAGTGACATGTTGATGGATTGAAACTGGCCATGTAGGAATATTTATACCATGGAAACAGCCAAGCACTGCCCACCAGAGTGTCCGCTCTTCTAAGGGCCCTAAGCACATACCAGCAGAGTTTCAAAGGAGGTTTCAGGGGAGTATTTCATTTCACTCCACCACAGGAAACCTTACCTGTAACTTCTGCCTCTGCTGTGAGAAGAGCCTCCCAAAACCAAAGCCAGAGGTAGTGGCAGTCACTCAGAGAGGGGGGGGGGAGTGCAGTGGCCTGTCTGCAGCCCTTGTCAGGGTTGGGCTTTCAGCCAGCCTGGGGCATATATAGAAGCCTTTAATAGTACCTGCTCTGTTGGTCATCTTTGGGGAACAGAAGAAGCAGGTGGCTGGCCCCAGGGTCTGGCTCCCCTTCCCTGGCCCCCAGTTCCCTTCATTCACCAGCTCCTTCTGCTCTCCTTGCCAGATCCGGAGTCACAGAGAAAGAGGACAGTACAGAATGTTCTGGATCTTCGACAGAACCTGGAAGAAACCATGTCCAGCCTTCGAGGCTCCCAGGTGACGCACAGGTAAGGCTTGAGTTGCCCTTGGTGACGTCTTCTCCCTGGGTCTGGAGGGCAAGGCCTCTGGGTCACTCCACATCGCCACGTAAGCATCCCAAGCCAGCCAGATGGCATTGGCCCCTGTGAACACAGGTGTTTGGATCCCCACATTGTCAATCTGCAGGGAAAGGGGAGTTCAACACCTCAGCAGAAGCCCCATGCAGTCTTGTCTCTGCTTAGGCTTGAGCATGGGATTTCATTTATCCGAATCACCATGAAAATGACTGGGTAGGGGTGGGAAGCCCAGGTGGTGGCTGTCATACCTGTTCTCTCCTTGGGCCTTAGTCTCCTCATCTGTTAAGAGGACTTTGCTTACTAAACACCACTCCCACTTCCCAGGTCCCATCCTTCTGGGATGCTAAAACCCAGAACCTCCCAACACATGGGATCTTCAATCCTCTGCCAGTCAGTGTCCTCTGGCTACTTCCATCACTCCTGAAGGAGGGCCAAGTACCTGGGAGGGTCTACATACTGTCACCCACAAAATCAGCCCCATGATATCCTTCTTGTCCCCCAACCCTCACAGAAACCCCCAAGCCTGTAGGGTAACACCTCTCCCACAGCCCTTTCCCCTAGAGCAGCATTCTGGCCCCAGCCCCTGTGAGTCAGAATTTCCCATTCAGTTCCTCTGGGCTTCCCTGAGCTGCTCAGATGAGCTCATACTGTCAGCCCTAAGGGGGACAGAGCCCAGCTAAGTTCTGAGGAGGGAGGTGAGCAGGCAGCCAAGACTGGGAAATCATGAGGCGTGGATATGGAGGCTAGAAGCCTGGGTATTAGGGGCTGAAACCTCCTCAGTTGAACTGGAGGTAGGTTCCTCTCTGTTGCCTGATGATAGAAAGCTAACTGCAAAAGCTGGGACATAGAATTAATGGGAAAAGGACTTGTAGTAGCTTGGGGCGTGGTCTGTCAGAGGAGCATCAAGACATGCTTGTGTACCCTGAATGTCAGAGAACCATTACCTTTCAGGCATCTCGGTCTAGGTGGGAGTCCCACGATTGCAGCTGATCCTCGTCTTTGCGGCTTTCTTCCATCAGCCCTGGGTCTCCTGTTGAGTGTTTTCTCCTTCTCTTACTTCCTGCTACCTCCCACATCCCCATCCATATCCCTGCCTTGAAAAACCAGGCTCTTATTCCCAGACATCTAAGCATCTCTCTGACGACTAAACAGGAGGTAATCAAGGGAGTCTGGGGAGAAGTGGTCAGTGTGGCTTCAGGGGCCTCAGAATAGTCTCTGTCCCATTCCATAGGCCCTAAGCAGGAACCCAGGTAGAGCGGGGCTCCCACTCAGCTGAATGACCCAGCAATTTAGCCACCTATAGATTAAATCTTGAACATCTCTCCTCCCCGCCACCCCGCTGTCCAAGGAAGTTTCTGGAACATCTCTCAGTGCCAAGTCACCCGCCAGGATTGTGCCAAAGAAGCCAAGAATTGCTGAGTTGCTTAAGAGTCCCACCCCAAATGACTCACCCTCAGAAGCAGGGCAGAGGCAGCTGCTCTAGGCTCCTGGTGCCCCGATGCCTGCCCTGAGGCCCCAGGAAAGTAGGGAAGATTTTGCTTGCATGGGGAAGGGAAGCCTAAAGCCTTCCCTTGATGACTGGTTGAGATAAGTGCCCTGGGGCCTCTGGCTCCTCTCTCCCTTTATGGAAAAGAAAGAACCAACAAGAGCCTGTGTCTTCTTTTTACCATAGACTAGGGGTCACTTATCATAGCCTTTGGCTTATCTTACTTCTGGACCACACCAGTGTCCTGGCTTTTTTATGGCTCTTTTGTTTTTTAAACATGCTATCAATCAATCTTTCCCTGCACCTTGGAGTGATAATATAGTCCCCAGTCTAGGAAGAGGACCTGGGAGAAGATGCACCTGTTGGACCCACAGGCTGATGGGGGCAACTTTGTGTCCATACAGAGTGGGGTACCAAGCTTCAGAAAAACAAAACAAAACAGTTTTATCCCCGAGGGCCTCAGGGTGCAAGGGAGGGACATCTGCCAAGGTTGCTGTCACCCTTGAATCCACAGGGTGACTTAGACTCAGTTCCTTTTTGGAAACTCACTTCCTCTATTTCTGTAGGTATGCTTCCCTCAGCGAGGAGAGTCTGGGGTAGGGACTATGGCTGGAGAGGAAGCAAAACTGACCTCCCCAGGGAGGCCAGCCTAGAGCTGGGCACCGGCTAGAGGTCAGGAGATCAGTTCTGGGCTAGAAACTCTTTCCACTGAGATCTAGAGATGGATTTTGGTGCTTTAATAAAGTAGAGCCTCAAAATAGGGGAAGAGGCATTTTTATGTTGAGAGGGTAACACAGAGGTTAGACCAGAGACAGAACTGAGTGAGGAACCCCCACTTCCTCATATGCTTGCTACCCTGGTGGACACCAACTGCCCATACCAGCTCCCCTGGATACCTCCATGCTCTCACCATGGTCTGCTGGTGCTGCATCTCCTCCTCCTCTTCTTCCTCCTCCTCTTCTTCCTCCTCTGTCATCATCAATCACCATTTCATGGGCAGCTTATTCTTGTTAAGCACTTACTGTATGAGGCCTTGACCCTCCTCTGTGGTGAGACATTCCCTACTGCTTTCAGCACAGCCATCGGGTCTGTGGAGCGCTAGACTATGAATGGGTGAGCATTGAGACTTGAGTTACACCGTGGCCATGGCCTCCCTGCCATCATGGGTTTTCCCTTTTCCCCCAAGAGATGGTGTCGAGGTCCACAGTAACTAGAAGCTGTGCAGAACTACAAAGGATTCTGGGACCGATGGACCCAGAGGGAAAGATGGTGTAGGCCATCTGGGAGTACTCAAGGCCACTGGTTGTCCTGCTGTTTTTCAGGACCACTGACACCTCCAATTTTGCTGAGGAACAGGAAGGACATTTTCTCAAATTCAACAGAGACCATTTTAAAGGGTTTTCCTTTTTTCAAGCACTTTATAAAATAATAATAATAATAATAATAATAATAATAATAATAATAAATCAATGTCTGCCTCCCATCCCAACCCTGAGAGTGGCTTGTGAAAGGATGTGGTCACAGATCAAAGATTCTTTGGCTTTGTGTACCTCTTGTCTAGCCATAGGTTGCCTCAGATGTCCCAGTTTTGGTAGTCTATGTAGCTCATGTCATTGATTCAACCCTGTCTGACTTCAGTCAGGCCAAGTGACAGAGAAGGGTCAAAAGTAGTTTGGAGTAATGCCATTGCTAGACTGCATGAACTTATCAATCCCAGCCTGAACCAAAGCCCTGATAACCATTCTTGCCAGATCTCAGCCGTATTTCCTCTCTGGCCCTGTGAGAGAAGGCCCCAGGGTCTCTAGCCTCAGGGCTTCTGGTAGTAGCCTGCCGGTGGCTTCCTTGTCCTGGCCTGGTGGCCTGAAGCCTTTGGGCTCCTGGATGGTCCTGTACCTCTTGTCTGCTTGCCTGGGTCCTCTCCTTTACCCAGTGAAGGCCATGTCCATTCCCTGAGGAGGCCCTGCTTCCTCCCCTGATGCCCAGGCCTATGGGGCCTGCTCCATATCTCAGGTTCCCCAAGCTTGCCTGTACCTTCCACATCCGATTTTAGGTTTTCATAGATCTGGTACCCAGGAATCAAGCTGGTCCTTTGCTCATTGACAGACAGAGGTGACGGCCACACCCTCAACAAATTGAATAGTCAAGGCCTTCTGAGCTCTGGTCATCAGTAGTCTCCACTCTTCCAGACCCACCAGGCCTCACTGGCTCTTTCTGGTTGGGTGAGCATCTTCTACATGTCAGGCCCAGTCAGATCTGTATGGCTGCAGCCCTCCCAACTCTACAAACGTTCCATAGGGTAGGCATGATCCCACCTCCCTGATAAGGAAGCCATGGACCAGCAAGATTAGTTTATTTCTTTGGGCCATTTGGCCCACCAAAAAAAATGACAAAAAAAAAGTATTAAACACAAGCTACACTCACAGCATAGTCTCTTAGGTGTGTATGGAATTTCTGACTTGGCCACATAGGCTCATTGTCCCTTGACAGTCGAGATAGCCTATAACCAAGGACATACACTTAGAAGCTCCCACAGAAGGGCATCCCAATGAGGGGACAAGGCACAGAGTGGCTGGGCTGAGGACTAAGTCTATGTCATCTGCTTTCTCCACAGCTCCCTGGAGATGACTTGTTACGACAGCGATGATGCCAACCCTCGAAGTGTGTCCAGCCTCTCCAACCGCTCCTCTCCTCTCTCCTGGCGCTATGGCCAGTCCAGCCCCCGGCTGCAGGCTGGCGATGCACCGTCTGTTGGGGGGAGCTGCCGCTCCGAGGGGCCGCCGGCCTGGTACATGCATGGGGAACGCGCACACTACTCCCACACGATGCCTATGCGGAGCCCTAGCAAGCTCAGCCACATCTCCCGCCTGGAGTTGGTGGAGTCCCTGGACTCTGATGAGGTGGACCTCAAGTCCGGCTACATGAGTGACAGTGACCTCATGGGCAAGACCATGACGGAGGATGATGACATCACAACAGGGTAAGCACCGGGGGGGGGGGTGGACAGCTGGTGCGGGAGGCATGGGAGGGCAGCAGAGACAGTGGTGGGATGGGGACCTCAGCATGGGTTTGCTGTGCTGTGACAAAAAGGGTCTGCAGAGGGCGATCGCGCATGCTGCGACTGCTGTGACTGCCTCTGCAATCCGATGTGGCTTATCCTGGAGGGTATGGTGGGTGGGGCTGACAACAGAGGAGCTGATTGGTCCATAAAGGTATGCCTTTATTCTCCTCCCTGAGCCTATCCTCCAAAAAGTGTGGCCAGAAGAGCCCTGGAAACCTTTTGGAGGCCCAGCTCTTCTGCAAACTAGGTAAACTGCAGATACCTTAATTTGCTTCCACATCTGCAAAAAGAGGCTAAGAATGTCACCTCCTTCTACCCACTAAGAGAAAACACCTTTTGAATGAAATTCCAGATCAGACACAGTGGAGGTGGTATCTCTACTTCCTCTGCCTGGGGCTCCTGGCCTCCTGACCTCAGCCCTTGGTTTATATCCTTGGGTTTCTGCTTCTGCAATTCTTCTACCCATAATGCCACACCCTTCTCCCTACTCCAGTCTGTTAAGCCTTCTCTTTCATGCCCTTGGAGCCCCCAGGGACCCTCAGCTTATCTTTTCTGCCATAATAGACAGGGCAGACTTGGAGAGAATACTTGGACAGATACGGCTGTCTTGGAAGTGAAAAGAGAACAGGAAGAGTTTGAACTGCTGGGGTTCCGGGTATTCTGACCAACTTTTTCAAGCCCTGAGGCCGGAGAGCTGTATGGTTCTGGAAACTTCTCTGGGGTGTCTCTCAGCAGACTACCACTTCCATTCTCCCTTCATGGTTGTCTGGGGTCTCCACTCCTAAGATACTCCATACAGCAGCAGCAGCCCTTTCCCTGTCTCTCAGGTACCTAAAATCATACTGCCAGAGTTTGCCACTCCTAACAAAACCCTGCAGCTTCAAGGGCATGGCCAGTAGCCTCTTGGAAAAGGCTGAGCTGAGTTCCAGGCCATCCACCACTCCCAGCCCACAGCCCACCCATGGGGATAAACTTGGCAGGTTTGACCAGGGTCTGTCCAGCTGATGAGGCTGCTCTGGAGCAAAACAACTGACGCATGAATGGCTTGTTTACTGCCTGGCAGATCCCAGGGGCAGCCCGACCTCATGCTCAGATCCGCCAGCCTGGAGCTGGGATAGGGAGAAGTCACGCTGTATTCAGGCCCCAGCTGCTGCTGTGGTCACAGCCTCTCATGGGGAGAAAGGAGAGCCAAGGTGGCAGAGAAGCTGCTCCAAACAGACCATATGCCCTGGGAAGTGCCTGTGTGGAAATATCAGGTCCCTGTCCCCTGATGTGCCAGCCCATAGGGCAGAGAGAAGCGTAAAGGCTGAGGGCTCAGAGCTGTGGCTGCCTCTGTGCTAGGGAATTCCAAGACTGGCAGGGCCTCACCCTCAGGGAGCCCCCAGATCTAGCAGCATTCTTACAACCCCCACTAACATCCCCAAAGTGCAGGAAGGCACAGGACCCCTATGTGGAGAGACTCTCTATAAGAAAGTAGTAGGACTTCTAGCATTAACTAGCAGTCTGAGCTTGAGCTACTTAGCCTCTATATTTTAATCTGTCTACCTACTGAATGCAATGAATGGCCTGGTATGAAGAGAAAAAAAAGGTTAATATATGTAAAAGGCTTAGTATAATTCCTGGCTCAGTGTAATTGCTCACTGTGTTAGCTGTTAGGACTGTTGTTGTTAGAGTCCCAGACTAATGGACAGCATTTAGCCCCCACCTTTTATCCTCTTTCCTCTGGGTAACGAGTATGACCTTGATTGAGTTAAGCCAAAACAAAGTCCCCAAGACTGACATGAATGAGACCTCAACCTCTCTGCTCCCCTCACAGCTGGGAAGCCAAGGAAGGCTGGAGTCCTCATGGAGAATACATGATAAATGGCTAATATGACAATATTCACCAAGTAGATGAGAGTATAACTTGCAAAGCTAGCTATATGTCATTTCATATGTGTCTTTTATGTTCACTTGTCAGTTAGTGGTAACTTTCACCCCAGTCTTAAGTGTTCTCTGTCCCTGAGTCCCTGTCCAGGGCCGTAACGGGAAGGCCATCCTAAATGTGCTTAGGAAAGAATTGAAGCATTGAAGGAAATCAGATCATAACGCCCAGTGACTTTAGTGCACACCACCGCTCCTCAGTTAAGTGTTGTCAGACTGCGGTTTTATGTTAAAGCAGGGTGTGCTGGATTCCAGGAAACCCTTAGGTAACCCTGCACACCTAAGCCGCCCTTCCTCAGCTTCCATTAGTACTCTCATCCCCATTGTGGCTCTCAGCTAGATTTTTATCATTTATAAAATGAGCTGGAGAGATGGCTCAGTGGTTAAGAGCACTGGCTGCTCTTCCAGAGGTCCTGGGTTCAATTCCCAGCACCCACATGGTGGCTCACAACCATCTGTAACTCCAGCCCCAGGGGATCTGAGCCCTATTCTCACCTCCAGCACCAATGTACTTGTGATATGCAGAAATACATGCAGGCAAAACACCCATATGAGTTGGTTTTTTTTTTTTTTAAGTCACTTTCCTAAGAAGATTGTTTTTCCATTTATAAGATGGGTTGGACCCTTCCTGTTCACCCATCAGACATTTAAACTTCTGCTTCCCAGGCATCCCCAGGGCTTGGCCACCTGAGCAGAGCAGCTGGCTGGTGAGCCTCTTTCTACCTTCCCCTTGGGTGACTGTCCACGTGAGCCACGATGGATGGCAGTAACTCTCACCCTTTGTCAGTTATCCCATGGGGACTGTCCTCTGGCTGGTTCTCGTCAAGCTGTGTTGAGCTTCAGGTCAGCTCTCCTGGCCCTATCTAGCTGCAGGTGGCTCCCTAGCCTATCACTCAGCAAACTGAAGATGTCCATTCTTCCAACACGTGGGCACAGCAGACTGAGAAAGGCTCTGACACCACTGCCAAAGGGGTCACAGACTCAAAACTGAGTTTGAAATTAGTGAAGTATACAGCAGAGGCACAATTTTAGAACATTTTGTTGTTCACTTGTTTATCAAGATTTTTTTTTTTCTGTGTAGACCTGGCTATCCTGGAACTCACTCTGTAGACCAGGTGGCCTTGAACTCACAGATCTGCCTGCCTCTGCCTCCCAAGTGCTGGGATTAAAGGCGTGCATCACCATCTGGTTAGAACTATTTTTTTTTTAATTCTTTTAACTTTTATTGATTCTTTGTGGATTTCACATCATGTATTCTGATCCCACTTATCTCCCCATCCGTGGCATCTGCCCCTTGCCCTTGCAACCTCCCCTACAAAGCAAAACAAAATTTAAAAGAAAAACCAAAACTAAAGATTGAGAGAGAGAGAAGAATCTTGTCGTGGAAGCTGTAGTGTGGCCTGTTGAGTCACACAGTTTACCCTTTAGTCCATTCATCTTTACTTCCAGTGTTCATTGGCTCAAGGCCTCTGGCTTTTGCTACACTACTGATAATGGGGCTCTCACTGGGGCTCCTCTTGGATATCCTGTTCTTGTCATGTGTCATGGAGATCCTGCTGTTTTGGATCTGTAGGTTTGTTCCCTTCACATGCTCCTAGAGATCACAGATGAGGTGGATGTTGGGGTGGGCTACCTCATAGCCCTGGTTCTGGGCCTGGGTAGTGGCTGAGTTGGTCAGCTTGCTAGCTTACCCTCCTCATCACTACCCAGGCGACCTCTCCCCCACTGCCTCAGCTAGGTCATCTAATGCAGCCTGCAGCAAGGAACTGGGCCAGTTCTCCGGCTCTCAGGCCCTTGGGTCTGGCTCATCCACACTCACACCACTGAGGCCAGCTCTACTGTTTTGCCCAGGTGAGGTGCAAGGCTCTCTCTCCCGATTGCTTTAGGGGGTATTGGGGGGTGGGGGTTGGGAGCAGGGTGTCAGCTGTCCTGCTCTCATGCCTTCAGAGTTGGCTCACCTGTGCACCAACAACAAGGTCAGTTCTAGTGTGCTGTCCAGGTGGGGTGCAGGGCCTGCTCTCCTGTGTGCTGCAGCGAATGAGGGAAGGGCTACTTCTATTATTCTCATTACCATGACTGTGGGACAGCTTTCTTGCCTGCCATAGGTAGCAAGGAGTGAAGGGAGAGGGTATCTTTCCCTCACCCATGCCTCTGCATGGCAGATAAGGAGGGGGGCGGGCAGGGTCAGCTCTGCTGTTCTCATGCCCTCAGGGCCAGCTTACCTGCATCCCAGTCCTCCACAGTAGGGTCAGCTCTAGTGTGCTGCCCAGACAGGATGCAGAGTCCATTCATTCTCTTGTGTGCCACACCCAGTGATGGTCAGGGCTAACTCTGCCACTCTCGTGACCAGCTCTCTCACGTGCCACCAGTAGTAATGGATGGGGAGGTGGCATCAGAAGAACCATTTTTAAGTGCAGTTGAGTGGCACTAAGTATAGTCACATTGTTGTCCCCGATCACCACCATCCACCTCTAGTACATTTCAAGTGACCAAGCTGAAACTGCTCATTCAACAGTGGCTTCCCTTCCTCCCTCTCTCTTTTCCCTGGCAACTAGCGTCTTCAAGTTCATCTCTGTGGATTGGACTATTCTAGGTAACTCAGGCAAACGGACTTACACTGTATGTCTTTTTGTAGTATATGTTGCCTAGCATATATCATAATATCATACACTCCCATCCATATTGTATCAGAATTGCCTTTTTATGGTTGAATAGCATTCACTGGTTGTGATATGTATTTTTGGTTACTTGGTAGCAGGTTTCTCCACCGATACAATAAACCCGATCAAGCTGAATTAATAAGACCAGGTTTAATCTGAGTAAAGCGCTCAAGCCTCCAGAAATGAGGCAGAGGAGGGAAGAAGAGAAATCACATGGGCGGGTCTATGGACCAGAGTTTAAATACCCTGTATGCTTGGTCTTGAGCAGCTCCAGGGAAGGTTTTCTGAGGGGCAGGGTTTGGAGAGGGAGGAGGGAAGTCTGAGGAGGAGTTTCCA